GTCACAATAGTTCGTTTGCCATAAGAAAGTCGAAGAGCTGTTATTAAGCGCTATCATGTGAAGTGCAAAACACTAAACAAACATGAGCAATTTTAGAATGCAGCAATTTGGCCATTTCTATTGCTATGGCGTGCTCTACGTCGGCGTAGATGCCCTCGCCTTTCTCCTTCAAAAAAGCGTTGAGAATTAAGATCTAAAAATCCAATAATTTTCGCAGAGATGTACATACAATCGCTTTTTGGACAGGTAGAGTATCATCCTAGAGTGCGAATCTAGATCTCCCAGAAAATGCCAGTGCGAGCATTTTCGGAGAAGATGAAGCGCTGGTCTTTGATATACTGCCAAATCTTTGATTAATTTCCAGTAAAAGCACTAAAGAGAAATGTCGATGCTGTAAAATGAGTTGATTCAAGAAGTGCACCATCTTGATATGAAGCATGTTATCCTTCAGCTAACCTGCATCAGATTCATTTGCTACAAAATCCAAAAAACTTTTTTTTTGCATAACAGTACAGTTATAAAAGATTAAAAAGCTCACTACCCAAAGGAAATTCTCTAAGACAAAAAAGTGTAGTTGAACGGTTTATTGACCGTGACAAAACTGAGTGAGAACGGAAAGATCGAAAGAGTTTAACACTGTTTAAAACTCAAGTTGAAAACCGGAAAGTTGCGCGCTGTTATAAAAGCGAGAGTAATGCATATAAAAAGGTAACTGTTCCAAAAGAAGAACGAGTGGCTAAGTTTGAGCGCCGCTATCCAAAAATCCAAGAGCTTATACTAATTCGACTGTTGTGCAGTGTTGCAAATGCAATGAGAAACATGACACTTCTTAACATGCAAAATGCAGTAACCGAGGCTCAACAAAGCTGCAACAGAAATTAAAACAGAGAACATAGCATCAACGGACAACATTTCGAACCTGTAGTTTTATCTTCCAGCCGAAGTTCCAAACGTCTGCCGATAGCTACTAACTTCATTCGACCCGTCCAGTCGGGTGCATCCAACTTCCAGTCTGCAGCTCTGTGGTAGCACATCATATTTAACATGAGATCACATGGCAAAAACAACTTGATTATAAGAAACCTACTTATGTCCTCGATTGGTACCTAAGGGGGGAATGCGATACACGAATATCTCTGGTTTGACTAGTGCTATACTCTCATATTCCTCTTCCATCTGCTTTTTGAAGACTGAACGTTAAATATTGTAGAACATTTATTTCTTCTCTCAAAGCAATCGAAGTTAAACAATGTGTTGGAGGAGAAGAAGACGATAATACAGCGAAACGCAGAATGACGTAACCAGCATAAGAGGAATGGTTTAAAAGACCCCAAGAAAAAGCTGGGAGAATGGGGGAAAATAAGTTTCATAGGAAAGATGACATCAAAATGAACAATAACATCACTTAACAATCAACGGAAATTAAAGGCAAGAAAAAATAAAATAGGCATAATTAATAAATTGCCTACGTGCTGGATACCTTCAGATGTAAATGCGAGAAATTACATAGACGCCCGAATTTGTGGCAAAAACAGTTGCGATCATAAGAGCTCCAAAATTAAACCATATTCATCGAAACTCGCCTGTCAAATAATACAAAGACATCGATGTCACACCGATGTGGAAATTGTCCAGCGGTAGCATCGCGCTGGTTGATATGAGCGCGGAAACTACAGCTGCAACATTTTAACAGCTATTGGTGCATTGCTTCTTAGTGTTAGTAGACCAAATTAGGTAAAT